GGGAGACGAAAGTTAGTGGTAAAATCAGCATTATAACATAACGAAATTCTTTTCCTCTTCAAATGATGGCTCAGACGTCCTCTGATGCAGGACCACAGCCCCTGGGGACCAGTCTTGGAGTGAAGCTGTTCGCTTAGCACCAAGATGTACGTAGAAGAACACGCTCCAACATGCCATGTTTTCCTTCAGCTCACAACTTCAAAAATTCTAAACTTTACTTGTAAATAATTGTGGGGGGGGGTGTGGGATGCAGTGATGAGTCATTTTAACTGGCATGGTTGTGTCAACACTTTGTTTTCTAAATTTCTACCCTCTTAGTTACATATTTAATGAGCAAGTAAAAGCTTAAACACTAGAAAACTCTCAATATAAAGGAAGTAACAAAAAGCCTTGTTAAAATGTAGACAAATTCCCCCAGTGACCTGTTTCATAAGTCAAGGATTCATCTATGAAATGTTCTCAAAAGAAAACCCCCCAAAAAGCACTCCACCGTCAGCTCCTGAGAACCTGGTAAAGTTTGAGCATGTTGTCAAAAAGTGGCAGTGACCATGTGAGCAAGCTGAGTAAGGGGGAGGATGCTCTCAGGGGACTCGTTCATCAGGACATTCTTTTGTTTAAAGATTTCTTTATGCTTACAAAGGTGGGGTACAAGCCAGAGGTGCAGGGGTGAGAGGCTTCACCAGAGACAGAGTGGGGAGCAGAACAGGCAGATGGACGAAGTACACTGCTGAGGGGAGCAGCGGGGAGACAGGAGAGGGCTGCAGCACCCAGTGGGTCACTTCTCTGGCTGGGGATGGAGCTCGCACTGAAGAGGCTGCAAACAGCTTGCAGTGCTGCGCTCTGACCCGCTGCGCCACCAGGGAGGGCCCCGAGAGATGGTTTTAAGCACATTTTCTAATTTACTTCACCCACTCAGGCTTGGACAACTTTGTTGGGAAAGACAGTGACACCGACCTTGTGTCGCTCTGTGCAGGTTAAACGAGGCGAGACCCCCGACCTCCTTTACAGGCTAAATCTTAGCCATTTCAAATTATCAGTTTTCTTAGAAACATGGCTTCCATTATTATTTTTTCCTAATCAAAAGTTGTATGAAGGGGTCCTCCCTGGTGGCGCAACAGGTTGGAGTGCAGCACTACCAAGCTTACTACAGCTGCTTCAGCCCGAGTTTGGTCTCCAGCTGGGGAAGTCACCCACAGGGCACAGCAGCCCTCTCCTGTCTCCCCGCTGCTCCCCTCAGCAGTGTACTTCATCCATCTGCCTGTTCTGCTCCCCCCTGTCTATGGTGAAGCCTCTCGCCGTCCCTGCACCTCTAGCCTGTACCCCAGTTCTGTATGCATAAATAAATCTCTCTTTTCTTTAAAAAAAAAAATGCTGTATGATGACTTTCTTTTCAGTCCCCACCCACTGGAGACACCCGGGGGTGAGAACAATAGTGTCAATTATTGATCTCAGTATCGGGAAACAGGGTTAGTGTGCTGGATGCTTCTTTCACCTCCCTGAACACTGCAAACAGGAGACCAGGGGCTGAGATGGGCATTTCTGGAAGAGAAGGTTCACCTGGGTGTGGTTCTAAGCCCCAGAGCCAGGGCGTGCCTTCAGGGCCAAGACAACGCCTGGGGGAGGATTTTCGCAGCCTCCAGGAGTCAACCTGGGGCTGATGGCCCCCCAAGGCACCCCCGCTCCCGGCACTTGAATGCGGGATGACAGTGAGGGTGCCCACCTGGCTGGTGCACAGCCAAGCAGCTCACTGGGAGGAGCCCCCAGAGAAAGCAGTGCAAATGTCAGGCTTGTTTTTATGTGTGAAAGGACACATTTTATGGAAACGAAGTGAGGGCATAAAAGTAAAATGAGAAAATTACTGATTTTATGGGAAATAAAATTAAATTTAATCAACCTATCAAAAGGCCTGAACTGAGAGCCCAGGGAATGTGTAGACCTTGGCAGGGTCTTTATTCAAATGAGTCAACTATAAAAGACATTTTTTGGAGAACAAGTGTAATTTGAGTATGAACTGGGCACACCAGATGGTAACACAGAATTGTCATTAGCCGTGTTAGGTGACGACAGGACTGTGGTTACGTAAAATAAAACTCCTTCACTGACAGAGAGGCACGCTGAGGTAGTTAAGGAAGGAAAGGCTGTGATGTGTGGTGTCTGTTCGAAGCCTTTTCTTTCTTTCTTTTTTTTTAAAGATATATATATTTATTTAAGCACACAAGAACTGGAGTGCAGGCCAGAGGTGCAGGGGGTGAGAGGATTCCCCAGAGACAGAGCGGGGAGCAGAACAGGCCGACTGATGAAATGCACTGCTGAGGGGAGCAGCGGGCGGGTCAGGAGAGGTCTGCCGCGCCATGTGGGTCTTTCCCTGGCTGGGGATCGAACTCGTGCTGCAGTGGCTGTGGACAGCTTCAGAGTGCTGCGCTTTAACCTGTTGCGCCACCAGGGAGGGCCCTGTTCTAAACTATTTCAACAAAGAAAAGATTCATGAGGTAAATCACAAAGGGCTAAGGGAGCGGTATGTTATTCTACCTTTCTCGCTCTAACTTTCTTTATTAAATATTATAAAGAACAAAGAAAACCCGATAAAATAGCCAAGCTACCCTTTGAGTGGTGCTAAATTTGGCTGCTGGAATCAAAAAAGAAAACAGTTCAGACTAAGTAAGTTTCAAGGACAGAAAAGCACCTACGAGTGCTTTGCACATTACCTTAGAGGGGCAAACTGTGATGAGTGCTTCCCTCAAGCTTCCCTACAAACTATGAAAAGTACCAACAGGAGCCGAGGTCAGGGAAGGGGCGAGGGAGACTGACAGACAGTCCAGACACCAGCAAGGTCACTGCCGCCATTCTCCCAGCCAGGCCTACAACCTCCTGGAAAACCAGTGAGCTATTATGTACACAAATCATGAAAGGAAGGGAGATTTCATTGTCCCTCCTTGATGAGACGAGGAAGTGCTCACAGAGTCTCCTCTATTGGCATCTGGAAACACAAGTGCCACGTGCAAGACACTACCCAGTGGTCGCACAGTTTAGACGTTCATGGTGGTCACGGCTGGGAATCCACGACAAAGAAGGAAGGACGTCGGAGCTCGGGGTGCAAGCATGTGGAGTCCGGCTTTAAGGTCACTTGGGAAAAGCAACCTGGCAAGTGTTGGCTTTGTGGCAATGGGACAATTTCACCCTAAGACGTATGGCACTAGGTACGGGGAATACCATCTTTAGAAACAGTATCACGTAGGAACCCAAGAAGTCCGAGCGGGTGAAGATGATGTTCCTGGAGATGCATTTGGTGACTCAGAAAGTCACCACACAGAAGTAAAACAAGGAAGCACAACAGAGGCAGCCAAAGGTGGGAAGACTCTGACTAGCTTTGCTCTGGGAAGGAGGAGAGACGCCTCTCAGAGAGAAGGCAAGAGCCTTCTCAGGGCGACGCTCCGGAGGGCGAGGTGGGCGTCTGGGATGGCTCGAGGAAGGTCTGATGTACCCACAGAGCTGTGAGGTGAGGACGCTGTACAGCACATGTCTGTGAGTGTTTGAAGACCCGTCATGTGGGAGACAGAGCTGATTTATTGTATATTTTTAGAGAGCAGAAGTTAAATGAATAGATGAAAATTATAGGGAGGCAGATGTTTGCTCAATATAAGCAAGTACTTTAGAGCAATTAAATCTGTCCAAGACTGAATTGGAAAGGTCACGTGTAAGTAAATGTTTCCTGACCAACTCTAAGGAAGGAAATTGAGGTAAATTGCCTTTATGGTCATTTGAATGATGAGATACTATTATTTTTATCAAGCGATCTCCAAGCTGGCAACAAGTTTAAGTTAATAACTGCATTTATTTTTTGAAGGTAGTCCCCATGTATTACATATTTTTAAAGCAGCTGCACGATTAAGTTCTGTGGATGATGAAACATAAAAATAACGGTCATCAAAAGCTCATGACTAAGGGAGGCAAGTTCGGCATGTATCAGATGCACCACATGCATACACACGTTAACATGGGTCACTACCTGAATGACTCTCCTTGATGAGGGCTTTGTCACAGGGCTAAAGTAGATCTGCAATGAGAGCGTGAACCAGCTAAAACGTTCATCTCTGCCAGGCGTCTCTTAGGTGTTCTCTTAAGACCAGCTATCTGCTGTCCAAGATTAAGCCAATTTATCCAATTTATCCATAGTGAAGATGGGAGCCAAATATTTTGGTTTTGTTCTGGAGCCCTTTTTGACTTGGACTCAAAATGCTGGGTATAGTCTTCCTTCCCAGCTTGCTCTTTTAAATCTTCTCAAAAGCCATTCTATAAACAATGACCAGGGGGAATCATCCAACAGGCTTCCAAAGGCAAAGCCCATAAAGCAGCATTGGAGTGACATGAAACCACTGGCCACTAAATTCTATGCTTCACCAGATTTGTCAACGGCATGAATTCAGCAACTTAAGTGTAACTCAGTGTAGAAGAACCAACTCCAGATTTAAAGTAATAATGAGGGGCCCTCCCCAGTGATGCAAGGGGTTAAAGCACAGCACTATGAAGCTCTCTGCAGCCACTGCAGCATGAGTTCGATCCTCACCACAGAGGCGACCCACAGGGTGCAGCAGACCTCTCCTGTCTCCCCTCAGCAGTGTATTTCATCAGTCAGCCTGTTCTGCTCCCCACTCTGTCTGGTGCATCCTCTCACCACCTTTGCACCTCTGGCCTGCACCCCAGTTCTGTGTGCATCAATAAATAAATCTCTAAGAAAAAAAGCAGTAATGAAATACAACTTCTTGATGTATGAAGAATTAGAAGAAGCTCAGTAAGTAAGTGGAGGAGCATTTACAAAATCCAATTGTCAAGTAGTGATACTCAATGATAGGAACACAGGGAAAACCTAAAAGTGAAACAGTCACATTTGGCGAAGCCCCTTGAACAATTATTTTGAATCACACACAGGACCTGTGGAAACCATCACACTTTTTCTCCACCTGAAAATCAAAGTTCTCTCAGCCCGACTCTGGGAGGCTGACCTGTGACTGCTGGAAGAGGATGCTCTTCTGTGGGTCTATGCCACAGGCGAGGAGGGCAGCAGTCATGTCCAGGACGCTCTGGCGGAGGACGGCGGGGTCCTGGGGGACGGTGATGGAGTGTAAGTCGACGATGCTGTACAGCACAGAGCGGTGCTCCTCCTGTAACCTCACCCAGCTCTCGATGGCGCCCAGGTAATTGCCCAGGTGAGGGATCCCCGTGGGCTGGATGCCGGAGAACACGCGCGTCCCAGCGTCTTTCTGAAATCAAGGAAAACAAGCCCCATGAATCCTTCATCCATGTCTCCATCCTTCGATGACTGGTGTCGTTCTGTAAACCACAGTCCGGCAGTCACCACCCTCAGGCATGTTTCTGGTGCCTGCTCTGTGCAAGGCATTGCGATATTAGGGCAGAAAACATTTGAGTTATCTTTTTATTTTTACTCAAACACCATCTAGTTGGCGATGCAGGATCGATTTATGAAAAGACAGAGTCGGTACCAAGTGGCCACACGAACACGGCCAGTTTAGAAAGACACACCGCGGGGCCAGGCCGGGTCCCCAGGAGGGGACTGATTGATGCTCTGTTTCTGGAGCTCAGCGAGCAAGGAGCAGAGGCGGGACCCACTTGCATCTCCTGGGACCCCAAGGGTTATCTCTGTGATGGCAATCGTTTTGTTGAGGTGATGAAAGGCATAGCTTTAGGGCAAAATGCTACTGCTCTTTACTTAATCCAGAGCTTATTGAAAATAATCGCTGTTACTGGGCTATGGTGATGGCACACGCAAGATATGGTGATGGCACACGCAAGATACGGGGATTACAACTGAGATGGGAAAAGGCACAAAATGATGTCAAAATAAACTATTCTATCATTTAAAAAATATAATCGCTGTTAATGTAATTTAGTGGGTGGTATCTCGGGCTAGAAACTAGGAGGCATACACGCTGATATTAACACTTGAGAGACTTATTTAGCTTGTACTTGTATTTTTATTTCTTCAAAAGGAGCTTTCAATTTTGCATAGTTTCCTTACATTACAAAAGCAACTTTCCTGGAGGTTTGAAAATTTGCAAAAAAAATAAGGTATGAGGATGGCCCTCCCTGGTGGCGCAGCGGGTTAAAGCACAGCACTGAGAATCTAAAGCCGCTTCCGCATGAGTTCGATCCCCGCCTGCCCCGGAGGTGACCACATGGCGTGGCAGACCTCTCCTGACCCACCCGCTGCTCCCCTCAGCAGTGTACTTCGTCGATCTGCCTGTTCTGCTCCCCACTCTGTCTCTGGTGAAGCCTCTCACCGCCCCTGAGCCTCTGGACTGTACCCCACTTCTGTATGCACAAATAAATAAATCTTTAAAAAAAATTAAAATTAAAATTAAAAAATTTTTTTTTAAATTTTTAAAAAAGTAAAAAAAAAAAAAAAAGGTATGGGAAAATAAGAACAGTTTTCCACATGAGCCAAATTCCCCTAGTGTGTTCACCAGGGTCGACTCTCTGGGTCATCACGAGTATGTGTCTGCATCTGCTCCTCAGCCTGGAATAGTCTGCGGCTTCTGCCAGCAGTTCCTGTGGCCTCACATCCTCTCCAGCTCGTTCCCAGCAGATTTACTTGTAGCTGATCTGGTGGATATGAGACAGACTCTCGTTACGGTTTAACTGCGTGTCTGTGATTGTGAGGGAAGTTGAGAAGTCATGGTTATTTGCTGTTTTTATTTCCTCTTGGGTAGTTGTTGAAGTCATTTGCATATTTTTCTAGGACTGAATTGTCTTTTTACTGGATTTAAGCATTTTTACATATACTGGACATGAACATGTCCATTCCAGGTGTGGCTAATATGGTCTTTCAGTGTGTGGGTATTTGTCTGCTTCATGTAATCTTTTGAGGAGATGTTCTGAATTTAATCAAATATGTCACTTTTTACTCTGGGCTTTTTTTGCCATAGAAGAAACCTGTCTATACCCTGAAGCCATGATGACATGTATGAAAGCATACATACATACAAAGCACATGTGTGTACACACTTCACATTTTCCCCTTCACGTCTAAATCTGTATCCACTTGGAGTTTTGTCTCTATGGTGTGAGACGGACAGTCGCCTCGTCCCAGTACATGGACACCAAACTGTACCAGCCCCAAGTACATTCTGTCCTGTTAATTCTGTGATCTATTTGTCTATATCTGTACCAGTCCTGCAAAACTGCCTTTTCAATAAGTCTGGCATAGCAAGTCTTTATACCTTTGGGAGTATCTTCCTCCTCCCTTGTTCATTACCTCAATACATTTTAGAATCACTTGTCAAGTTCCCAGAGAAGAGACATTCTGTTGGGGTTCGGGATTATATTGGCTGCTATCGACTGCTTTAGGGGAGCGCTACCATCTTAATCACACTATATCCTCTAATCCAGGAAACCATTTAACACACGAGACTCTAACTCATGTAAAATGTGTACTATAGTTAGTAAGACTATATTGTACACATTCAGGTTGTTAAAAGATTAATCTGTGAGGTGAGGGGTACGCTGGGGGTGCTTTCACAACGCACATCCTATTTCCATGATGTACACTTTTATATCGCGTGACTTTATCAGCCAATTGTATCTCAATAAAGCTGAAATAAAAAAAAGGAAAACGATGTTTACAACTTTTTGGCAATATGTTTAAAATATATTTATTCGCTCCTAGGGTGAATTTACTTTAGATATGTTAGTGGCTACCCAGGTTTTATCCCTCCCTTTCCCCAAGACCTCCAAATCCTCTCCATCGAGCTGTTTCCCTGTGTCTGCTTACTTTCCTCTCTACTCCTGAAACAACAGCCTACACTTGCAGGCTACATCCCAGCACCACTATCCAAACACTCGGGGGACCTGGAGGAGCCGAGGGTCTGACAATATGAAAAATAACCTCTGAGAGATCAAACATAATGCTGAAAACAAATATAATCCTACCGGCCACACTTTCCCCTAGTAAGCCTTCAGATGAGTAACCCCAAAGCATAGCTTAGAAGCAGTATTATTTTATTTTATTATAATAGTTTATTTTGACATCATATTGTGCCTTTTTGCATCTCAGCTGACTTCCCATCACCAAATCGCCCGTGTACCATCACCACAGTCCTGTGCACAAGCTCCCCCCACCCCACATTTTTTGATCCCATCTCCCCTCCACCCTGTACAATGTCTCTATAGTTGTTCATTATCATTATTATTATTTTCTCCCTTGGTCCTTTATGTTCCTGCTATGAGTGAAGCCATCCGGTAATTTTCTTTTTCTTTCTGGCTTATTTCACTAAGTGTGATCCCTAGAAGCTGTATTCTTAAAAGTTCTGGAGTTGAGAGAGAGAGAGAGAGCAAGAGGAAGAGAATAAAGTATTTACCAGGGAGGCTTCCTGAGCCCCGCTGGGGCCCTAACAGCGCTCTGGGCTCTGATAGGGGATAGCCCAGGAGCTCTCAGTGAGGTGAAAAATGATGAATGTGCCTTAGGAGCTGACAAAGAGAAAGCAAAGTAGAATAAAACAGCTCTGAACTTAGTAAATGGAAGAGCAAAAAAAAAAAAAAAAAACAAACACCACGTAGAAATCCCTGACCTGGGATGAAGAAGGGCCATTTATGTCATCGAAAGGATTACCAAGACGAGGAATATCAAGCTTAAAAAAAAAAAAAAAGATTGTTAATATTTCCACATAAATTCCTCCCTGGTCAAGCTACGGAATCATTCCCCAGGAGAAATGGAGAGGCTAATTCTTGAGAAAACTGGAAGAGAAAAGCACTGGAGGACACTCTGTGGGAAAAAGACCAGAGGGATGGGGCAGACATGACCTAATACCTCTTTTCCCCCCGGTTCTGTGATTCTACACATCCAGGCACAAGGATGATGTTATCAAGAAGTAAGAGCAACAAGAAATGTTTTGTCCAATTTTCAAAAAGCTATTAAGAATAATATAGCCCTGAACGAGAACTGGATTCCTGGTCTTAAAAATATACAGAGAGCCTGCTGCTCTTTGCGAGTGTTTCCGTTCCGTCTGTGCCCCCGCGAGAGCAGCAGGCGGCCGGCGGCGTGGCCGGGGAGACACGCCTGGCACCGTGAAGTCACGGGGCTGGAATGTGGCGTTCAGGGGGTGGGCGGGTGGGGGTTCTGTGTTCAAAAGCCCTGGCGCTGGAGGAGAGTGCAAATGAAAGGCACCAGGGCTTGCCAGGGCTCAGGAGGCAAACCACAAAGAAAATAGCTGCACTGCGGGCCCACAGGCCTCACGGGAGTCTCCGTGTCAAGCCAGCGTGGCACCCAAGTGCGGAGAGAGGAAAGAAGCATTTGGCAAATATTTCTTCCTTTTGATTTCAGGTGCATTTTCTTAAAACAAATGCCACTTCCAATCAATACATCCATTGGCTCATTTTTTAATGGAATCAGCCTTCCTAACCGGAGCTTCAGCCCTGGGATTTGGTATATTCCAGAAGAGAGGCTTCATGTCTGCATGCCAGGAAGACCAGATGTGCCCATGTGAGAGATGCCACTAAAACTACCCTTATCCTGAGGAACTGCGTACGTGCAAAATTCATCAGCATCTGCATTTTAACTACTGCTGGTGAAAGCGACTGAAAAACCCCAAGTTGCTACTTATATAGTAAAAGGTCGTTGGCCTGACTACTAAAGAGAACTTCTGTCTTTAATCCTAAGTGAACAAGATGCTGGATAAAGGGCCTCCCTGGTGGCCTAGGGGTTAAGTCTCAGTGCTATTACCCATAAGGCCTGAGTTCCATCCCCAGCCAGGGAGTGACCCACAGGGTTCAGCAGACCTCTCCTGGCCCCTGTTGCTCCCCTCAGCAGTGGATTTCAGTAGATCTGCCTGTTCTGCTCCCCACTCTGTCTCTTGTTGAGTCCTCTTAGCCCCTTCCCTGCCCCCCCCCCGCCTTATTTTGCAGTTATTCTCTGCAAAATAAGTAAATAAAATCTGTAAAGACACTGGAAAAAGGCTGTTCACTTTTAAGCACTGTCAACTTCGGCAAAGTGGCGGGAACCAACCATTCCAGTGAAAGCTCTCGAGACCACTGCTGAGTCCGTGCATTCGTCACACCCACTTCAAGCACAGTCAGAGGTAGACCAGCTACTCGGCTGGAGAACCATGACGTCTACCGGCTCACGAATGGCAGCCCTCACAGAGGTGACTAAAGAAAAAGTAATCAACGATGTTCACAATTAACGGGGTGAGAATTTCTGCCCTACTCACTCTTTACTCATACGTACATAAAAAATACAGCTTGAGAC